GCTGGGCCTAGTGTCTCTCCCCCAGATGACATCAGATGGGGAAAGGTTGCCTACCCCTGCTCTAAATGATGAGCTCCTTATTCAGCCATAGCAGGTGGATGCTGAACAGAAACCTCTTTCTTTCTTAGTCAAGCAGAGGTAGAAGCAACGCCTAATGCAGGGATAGGCAACCTTTCCCCTTTAAGAGCTGAGGGACTTCAGCTCCCAGAATCCCAGGAGCTATTGGCCAACATGGGACTATTGGCCAACATGGCTGAGGCTTCTGGGAGCTGAAGTCCCTTGGCCCTTAAAGGGGAAAGGTTGCATACCCCTGGCCTAATGCATCAGCTTGAATACCAGTTGCCAAGAATTAGATCCCTGACCATCAAGGTTAGGCAGCTATAAATCTCCAATCAGCAGAGGAGAATCTTCATAGCAGACACCCAGTTCACAACCATGCATGTTTGGCTTTCTTGAATTCCTGAACCCTTGGGCCAATTATAAGGTATACAACTTATCTTTCTACTTCATCAGCATTGTTTTTCCGACTGTTTCCCATTAGTGACTTTGAAACCAGGGGTAGGCAACGTTTCCCTTTTAAGGGCCGAGGGACTTCAGCTCCCAGAAGCCTCAGCCATGTTGGCCAATAGTCCCATGTTGGCCAATAGCTCCTGGGATTCTGGGAGCTGAAGTCCCTCAGCCCTTAAAGGGGAAAGGTTGCCCCTGCTTTGAAACAAGTGAGACCTTATGAGTCTCCTGATACTGCTCCACACTACCCAAGCCTGTTTCTAAGCACATGACACGTACTTAAACATCAGCCAATCATATTGTGTCAAATGCCTATGAGGAGAGAAATATAAATAATCTAGTGCCAAAAAGATGATGATGTTGACACCAAGGTGGTCCTCAGTGGGCATAGCAATCCATGGACAGTAAGATACCAGCTGGAATCTTGTTGATATCTAACACATATGTAGGTTCCCTAGAGCAGTGGTTCCCAACCTTTTTTCTGCCTTTTTTCTGTTTTACACTAAAATTCTCATAATTACTGACTGTTGGCTTGTTGGCTTGGGCTTCTGGGATCTGAAGTCCAAAACAAATGGAGAGCCAAAGATTGGGAAACACTGCCTTAGGGGAGCAGCTGGACACTTTTGTGCAATACAGAATATCTGAATTCAGTCTAAGGATGCAAAACTGGGGTTGTGCAAATGGCAGCACTGTGTATGCAGATGAACATGTGAGTGCACACCTAAATATGCATTTGGTTCCACATTTGTGTATGCATTCAGTTGCACGGCTCTAGCATGATTACCTAGATCACTCAGTGCATAAGTCCACTTGTGAAGAGGTAGCCTATGCAACCCTGATGGTCTATGTATGAGTAAGTCTGTTCTTATCTTTCCTAAATATTCTCAAATTCAGCTTTGGTCCACACATCACATATTTGTGATACAAATAAGCATGATTTTTTTCTAGGGAATTTCAATTTTAAAAACAGCTTTGTGAATACCTTTCCTAGCCACTTTTGTTTAAACACATACTTCTCTCAAATGGAATATGAAAAAAAATTCCTGTTTGTACAAATTAGTCCTATTTACATTTTATATTTTCTTAAATAATAATAGGTGTGTGGATTTTTTCCCCTGCCTCTATGGACTCACAAATTTTCTTATTTAAAAAAAAAAACCCTAAGTTGTGGAAATCTTCTGGTTCTTCATGATTTAAAAATGTGAATTCTAGAGTTTTGAATTTTGTAGAATGACTTCTATGCTCCCTTTGCTTCCCCCACTCATTCTTGTTTCATCTTTGCCTATTGTAGAGCATGAATAGGATGACTGGGACATCCTGCAAGAGAAGAGGGCAATGCAGTCATCCAGTCAGTTGTCACTCAGCAGAAGCAAATGTCAGAAGAGATGAGTGCACCATTATTAATTGATAGTCTCTTGCATGGAAGTAGATCTTCAAAGTATAAAAGAGAAGAAAGAAAATGAGCAGCAGACCTTTCTTTCAAAATGGGGGCATCTTATGAGTGTATCATATAAAAACAGGGACATTATAAAACATTTCCAAAATTGCTGCTCCTGTTTCTCAATCTCTATTACATACACCAGGGGTAGGCAACCTTTCCCCTTTAAGGGCCGAGGGACTTCAGCTCCCAGAATCCAAGGAGCTATTGGCCAACATGGGACTATTGGCCAACATGGCTGAGGCTTCTGGGAGCTGAAGTCCCTCGGCCCTTAAAGGGGAAAGGTTGCCTACCCCTGACATACACCGTCATTATTTTATACCACCTGCTATATGTACTTAAATCTCTGAAAAGTGTGTCTTCTGTTTCTGCCATTTATTCACCCTGGCTTCCAAAAATGACATTTTTCTTTCCCAAGACCTCATACTTCTCATGTTACTTCAGAAGGACACTGATGTAATCTCAAGGAGAACACCCGTAACTGGAGCTCAATAAAACAATAATGTTACAACTAATGACAACCCATACTATTTTGGAGAGATCATACAATATGATGTACTGTTTTTTATAGATAGCTCTTCTTGGCTTTTTCATGCATTCTTTTATCTTAGCTAACTCTTTATTGGATCAAACATTTTTCATTAATAGAAATTTGAAGTAGTCATTGATCCACAATCCATAAAGCCTCTTCCATTATTGACTTTTTTGTTAAATATAATTTCGCTCTCCTTCCAAGTTACAGCTATTATTAAAAGCTGCTAGAAAATTTTAGAGACCCTAAAGTGCACAGGTGGACAGTTATAGTTCGTGGCCAGTTGGAGAAATATAAGAAAGGGTGTGCTATAAGTAACTGTTCTGCTGTTGTTCGAACAATCCAAACATATTAGATAATATGATTTGGACAGCCAGCATGGTGTAGCGGTTTGAGCATTGGACTGGGAGTCCAAAGACCAGGGTTTGAATCTCAGGTTGGCCACGTAAACCCACTCAGTAACCATGGGCAGGTCACAATCTCTTAGCCTCAGAGGATGGCAATCACAACCCCCCCCTGAACAAATTTGCCAATAAAACCTCATGATAGGGTCACCTTAGAGATGCATAAGCCAGAAACAACTTGAAGGCACACAACAACAATATGACTTATGGTACTGAAATGGGAATGTAATTCTTCAATAGGCATGTTCTCAAAGGTAGCAGTGGATAATTTTGGGTATTATTTATTATTATATTTATTTATATCCCATTCTTTTCCCAGAACTGGTACCCAGAGCAGCTCACAATATTTAAAAAAAACCAATACAATTAAAAGCATAGAAAAATGATACATTAGAACAGAATTAAATTGTTACAATATTAAATTGATTGGTTAGTAAAAGAATAAAAATACAGTTTAAAAGTTAAAATTGTTTAAAACACAGGAAACATTACAACGCTGCAAGCCGGTCCTTTAAAAACATTGTTTTAAAAAGCCTGTCTGCATAAGAAGAACTTATCCTGCTGATGGAAGGACAACAATGAAGAGGCTATTCTGATCTCCCTAGGAAGGGAATTCCACAGTCCAGAGGCAGCTATGGAGATAGTCCTCTCTCGTGTCCCCACCAACCATACTTGTGATGGAGGTGGGACTGAGAGAAGGACCTCTCCAGAGGATCTCAGGGCCTGGGCTGGCTCATAGAAGGAGATAGTCTGCTAAATAGCCTGTACCTGAGCCATATAGGGCTTTATAGGTCATATACAGGGCTTTTTAGGTAAGCAATGGGTAATCAATATTTTTCTGCTGCAAAAAAGCCTTCAAAAACCATGCAGTTTTTGAAAGTTATTTGTAAAGCAGTACTTATTTTGCACAAATTTTCATAAAATTATTTGGACAAAAAACAGAATTTTCTGCAAAAGTTAAGAAGTTTCTGCTTGGGATTCAGAGATATTAATTTCTGTGCAGAAAATGCTGTTTTCTATTCAAATCAACCATGTGCAAATTTTACACACAATAAATTTCTAGTTACAATATGTTCTGGGTTGAAAACAACATTTTATGCACAAGAATTAATATTTCTATACTGAAATATTATCTTCATTGCAGAAAATGTTGTTTCCTGCACAGAAAATGCTGTTTTGTGCAGAATAAATCCTCAACTGCTAAGAGTCTCATCAGCCTGGGAGTCTTCTCATCAGATTCCCCCCCCCCCAAAAAAAATGTTTTTTAACCATTTAAAAGTCCAACAAATGTGTGTCCACACTTTAAGAGGCATTAAAAGAGAGCATTCTAGATTTTTCCTGAAACAGAAATCCTGCTCATGTCACCAACAAAGGTTCTTGATAGCACGCAGCAGAATTACATTATCTTATTCACCCCTCACTCCAATAGATGAATCAGACTATTTCGAGTCAATATTAGATTTCATACTTGAGTTCATTCATGTCTTTTCTGTCCTGCTTCTGCATTCTGTATTCTTCTTTCTTTCTTTCTTTCTTTCTTTCTTTCTTTCTTTCTTTCAGGGGCTTTTCCTTTTTAAAAAATCAGCTTGAAATACCATATATGAATAATTATTATTTTTCATGTGTTTTCTCACAGAATATGCATTTATAAACTGTATGTGTGTGTTGGGGCCAACTTGAGAGCAGTTAACAACAACAACAACACAGAAGAGGGAACACTCTAGTAGTTTAGGGCAAGGAAGTAAGGTGACCATCCTGTATATGCTTGGCTGTGAAGTCTCAGTGAAGATTTCCTTCTGAGTAGACATCTCTAGGATTATGTTGTTAACTGATGAGATGCAGTAAAATATGAATGTTATATATGTGATATATTTATATTTTCAGAAATAATCAATGTATAAGGGAGGGAGGATTGTTTCCAATGAATCATAAACACCTAGTGTAGTGAATCTAATCAAAAAAAGTACTACTATAAAGAAGAATATATGTAAAATTCTAAGTCTACGGTTCCCTCCTGAGACTTTGATGAAAGAAGTGTTCACATCCCTCTACTGATTATAAAGTGTGTTTGTTTAGCATAGAACTGCAGTGTCACATTGGCCAAGGGACAGAGGTCATGATGTGTGAATTGCCTGCCATTAAGTGAGGGGAAATGGTGCAAATAATTTCTCACAGTAATAAAACAGCTTCACCAACTGAAACAATCTTTAAACTTTTCAATCTGCCAGTTTTCATCCAGAAATTCTATTCAGCTATAGTCTACAAAACAATGAAGATTGGCAATCATGTTTAGTGGCAAAACACCCTGAGTACATCTAGCACTCACAAAAATGAATGAAAAGCTCATTCAACATCTTTGCCCTCCATTTCCCTCCAAGCTATGGATCTTGCCGAGATCTCCATGCAGATGTAATCAAATACAGAGGTTATGAAAGGCCCTATCATCATTAAATTTATCTACATTTAATGTTATCATAATTCTGCTGTGGCAGATGAGTGAGATTAAAATATGCCTAGCCTGTGTTTATAGTGGAGAGGTTTGATCCCCATGTGTTCTAGTACACTCACACCTACATTGAATATGAGAGGTGGCCCGTGTACTAACATTGGAAAACTATGGCCCTCCAGATGCTGGTAGCCACCAATCTCCAGCAACCCACATATTGGCGGTGCTGGCTATCATTGATGGGACCTGCAGTCCAACAAGGTCACTATGACCCAGCCTTGCCATAGAGTGATGGAAGAAAAGGCCCTAGTATACTGGCACATGTGCATATATTGTATGCATACAAAGTGGATCCCTTGCACATGTGAAGGCTTCTTTATAAAGGTCAAACTTTTGTCCATCTAGTAACCTCCTAAATTGTACTTCAAGTCATAGTCTCACTGAAACAGCAGCCAGAAAGAGGTTGATCAAAGAAAGCAAAGCTAATTCCTGCAAGCCAACATCCTTTTAAATAAAGTCCAAAGCCTGTAAGGAGCACCTTTTTAAAAAGAAGAAGAAGAAGAATCAACAGCAGGTAATAAGAAAGATATCTCCTGAGATTTTGGAGAAGTGACGATAATTCAGGAGGTTACTAGATGGACAAAAGTCTGACCTTTATAAAGAAGCCTCCTTTATAACATTTTGTTACATATTTGTCTCTCATTCAGAAATCTTTCAGAAGTGTGTTTTGTTTTTTTATGAACATGCACATCAAAGAGTAAGAACATATGCATGATGTATTAGATTCAAAAACTATGGCATTTTTAAGAGGGGTTGGGGGGGACAACCCCAAATATTTGTAGCTTAGAGTTGTATAAGCAGAGTTGTTAGGTCAGGAGAATCCTGGGCTGTGAGAGATTTCAAGGTGAACTCTACATCCTAAGGGCAACCTCGAATGTCACAAGGGCAAGTCCCAGTGATGTTATTAAGCATCAACATAGCTGCTAAGAGAAAGTCATTCAAATGCAAAACAAAGAATCAAACAAATGAGAAAATACTTCTCTGGTTGGAAATTAGGTTGTCCAAACTTTGCATTGCATGGGGGGAAACCCCAACTTTTTTTCCAGTTTTGCTTTGAACACTTTTCAAGCTTTAAAACAAATGGGAATTGCAGTTCACTCAAAGAAAGTTTTCCAGGCTTTATACTGAACAGAACAGTAACACAAACATTTCCCAGCTCTGTTTTTAACACTTCTACAAACACTGATTTTAAGAACACACATGAGAGAAATGGGGAAGGCAGAAAGCAGGCAAGGGAATTGAAGTGGGAGTAGAAGAAGTAAGCGGATGAGAAGAAGGGAGGGAGACTGAAAGGAGAGATAAGACAAAATACAACTATGAACTGTTTAAAGTGGGGAAAAGGAGAAAGAGAAAAAAGTAAGAAAGAGTTTTCACCAAGAGTTGTGCAGTGGATTGAGATGAGAAAAACAGGCCAGAAAGACAGGGCTGGGGTGGAGAAAATCAATGTAAGCATAAGTTGCAATGAGGAATAGGAGGAAAATGATTAGAAAAAGAGAGAAGTGAAAATGAGAATTAAAAGAAAAAAGGACGTCAGGTCCCTAAACAGGGCTGAAATAGAAGTACATTTATACCAGCTTCCCCTCCCCCAAAAAATTGTGCTACCCACATGCATCTTTCACTGCATCCACACTGCAGAAATAATCTAATTTGACACCACTTTAACTGTCATGGGTCAATGCTATGGAATTCTGGGAACTGTAGTTTGTTGTGACACTAGAAAGAGAAGTGCACTCGATGTCAACAGTTAGCAAAGTTAACTGTGAAAGAAGAAAATCCCATCCCCCAAACTGCCCACTCATTTTATTGCTTCATCCACCCAAACCCTCTCAAAGTCCTAGCGAATGGTTATTTTACAACCAACTGATGAACTGATGGTAGAGATATGTCCAGCACATATCCCAAGACCTTTAGTTGAGTGTTTTTTAAATGAAGAAAGTGAGAATGAGTACACTCCTGAAAAAAGAAAGAGTCCATGAAGCCTGCCTCTGCTTAACCTAACATGAAAGCCAGTAATAACTTAAATGATTTCAGGGCTTCTAGGAGCATCTCTCCCTTTCTTCAACTAAATTAATATGAACCTACATGTTCAACTGAGCCTAAGCAGGATGTAGTTGCCATGGTTACCATGGAAGCATTCTAAATGTGGTACCCTATACAAAATAATCAACTGAAATGACTTTGTACAGCATTGATGACAGCTGGGGGAATGGTAAAGAGATCCCTCCCTGTAAAAATAAAATTTCTCAGTATTGATGCATCTGCCATTCAGGCTGCAGGACTTGGAGTAAAGCAAAAAAAGAAATTCAAACAAATTTTCACAGAGAATGTTTCCATCTTGGCCAGACTGCAATGGACAATAACACACAAAGAGCAAGCAAATTAATTATGTTCTAATATGAATGCTAAAGTGAATGACTGGCTGCCAGGGAGACACACAGAACATGAACCCAAAAAGGTGCATTGATTGCTAGAGAGAATAAAATTAGACAGAATGTGCCTTGCCAGATAACCTGAGGCATGCAATAGAGTCTCT